GCAGGAGATCAGGTTACAAAGGGCAGCAAAACCGAAGGCGCTGATTGAATCGGAAAATGGATATTAGTATTTATTATAAGTAATTAGAGGAAATATCTGTTCTTTTTGAAACTATTTTCATCAACTGATAAATGCAATTATCTTTCCTTTTTGAATTTCTTTGATTAACAAGACAATTTAGTTTTCCATAACTCACAAAAAGATCCATAATCATAACGGCGAAATAGAATATATTTATAGAGAGAAGAGTGGAAGAAAGAGAGAGAGATAGGTAGGTTGGTAGAGTGGCTGTCTGACGACACACCTAGGCCTAGCCCATTGTGATACCACCGATGCTAATGGTTCCTCACTCTATTGTCTCCTCTCTGATCTACCCTGTTTATCGTGTTTATCCGTACAAATAGTTTTATTTATGCTCCGCTGAAACGTCGTCCAGAAACCCTTAACCGATAGTTGCGATTCTTTTCCTGTATTCCCGGCCCATGTTCCATTCATGCCAAGTTTGCCTACTTGTTGAGCAAGTCAGGGATTGATTAAATTTACAGCATGTTCGTCGATTAAATATTTACAAGTGGCGAGAGGCATACAAATTCCCTCTTTTTCGGAGTCTAGCTGTAGGGTGATGCCTGTTCTGGCCAGTTCATTTGCATCACAGTTAACACAGAAGGAAAGAGAAATAGAAGAGAAATATACTTGTAAAGCCCAGTGACTTTAATATTTTTATACCCTGACCAATTTGTCGAGAAGTTTGTAACACCCAGAAGAAAACTATATATATTATAACAGGTGTTTTTTTTCGAGGTATAGAACTTTAAGTTGGCATTACTGTTCAAGATGGCGACCGATTTAACAGCTGTCAAGTGATTTAGCAATTTTATTTCGAAAATAATGGTTCTGTGCGGAATACGTATCGCGCACTACGTTCATTTTGTCGTATGATGCGATGAAGCGCACATCTGGTTGAATGGCTACGTCAACAAACAAAACTGCCGCATTTGGAGTGAAGCTAATCCTCAAGTGTATGTCGAAGCACCGTTACATTCAGAAAAATTGACTGTTTGGTGCGCTTTATGGGCTGGTGGAATCATTGGTCCGTACTTCTTCAAAACCGATGATAGGCAGAACGTTACAGTCAATGGTGATCGGTATAGAGCCATGATTACTAACTTTTTCATCCCTGAATTGAACAACCATGATGTCCAGGAGCTGTGGTTTCAACAAGACGGCGCAATATGTCACACAGCTCGTGCCACAATCGATTTATTGAAAGACACGTTTGGTGACACGTTTGGTGACCACCTAATTTCACGTTTTGGACCTGAGAATTTGCCTCCAAGATCTTGTGATTTAACACCGCTAGATTACTTTCTGTGAGATTGTGTAAAGTCATTGGTCTATGCGCATAAGCCACAAACGCTTAACCATTTGGAAGACAACATTCGCCGTGTTATTGCCGATATACGGCCACAAAAGTCATCGAAAATTAGACGTCCAGATTGGACTACATCCGAGCCAGCCGTGGCGGTCATATGCCAGAAATCATATTTAAAATGTAATCCCACAAGATTATCTTTCGGATAAATAAAATTCTTGTCAATCGAATAATCCATCGTTGTTTTATTGCAATTTAAAGTTCTATACATCTAAAAAAAAAAACACCCTTTATAACTGATCAGCGAGACGAGCTGAGTCGCTGTAGCTTTGTTCGTCTGTCTGTATATACACCTAGTCGCTCAGTGTTTGAGATACCGATCTGAAATTTTGCATACCTCCTTTTCTCAAGGCATCAGTGCAATATCCGAAGAAATTGTTGTGGTCCGACCACTATAGAATATAACTGTTATAAAAATTAAACGATGGGAATCAAGTGGTTATAAGAAATCTTTTATATTTGTGAAGCGTGTTTTAGCTTTGTTGCAACCGAAGTTAGCCTTTTTTATACTCTCGCAACCTGTTGCTACAGAGTATAATAGTTTTGTTCACCTAACGGTTGTTTGTATCACCTAAAACTAATCGAGGTAGATATAGGGTTATGTATATATAAATGATCAGGATGAAGAGACGAGTTGAAATCCGGGTGACTGTCTGTCCGTCCGTCCGTGCAAGCTCTAACTTGAGTAAAAATTGAGATATCTTATGGAAATTGGTCAATGTTCTTGTACCGTAAGATGGGTTGGTTATTGCATATGGGGTAATCGGACAACTGCCCACGCCCACAAAACGCCATTAATCAAAACACCAATAATATGTCATAACTAAGCTCCGCAATAAGATACAAGGACTGTTATTTTGGTACACAGGATCACATTAGAGGGGCATTCTGCAGTTAAAACTTTTTTTTTTTAAAGTGGGCGTGGTCCCGCCTCTAATAGGTTTAATGTATATCTCTAAACGCTTATAGCTATAATAACAAAATTCACTAGAGCAAATATTTTTAGCACTTCTATTGACGGTGTGAAAATAGTTGAAATCGGTGCAAACTCCCACTCCCATATAACGGTACGTTAAAACTACTAAAAGCGCGAATAAATCAAGCACTAAACACGCCAGAGCATTAAATTTTGTCTCTGAGTGGTATAAGATGACTTTATAGGAACCGCGTTCAAAATTAGGACAGTGGGCGTGGCACAGCCCACTTTAGGTGAAAACCCATATCTTGAGATCTGCTCAACCGATTTTAACGCAATTCAGTGCATAACGTTCTTCTCATGTTTCTATTGTCATAGTGTAAAAATGAGCGAAATCGACTACAACACGCTTACTTCCATGTAACACCATTTTCAATTCCATCTGATTCTTTCACTTTCCACTATGCAAATCAGGTAACAATGATTATATCGGGGTAAAACTTTGCGTGAATAATGCAATTAAAGTATGCCACCTTGCGGCCAAAAAATGTCTAAATCGAACCAAAATGTTCAAACCCCTAAGTACTAAATATGTGGGCCCCAGTGCCTATATTGACTTTACCGAAATATCAGTCAATCCACAAAGAAATCTCAAACGAGTATACCATTTGACTTTGCGAGAGTATAAAATGTTCGGTTACATCCGAACTTAGCCCTTCCTTACTTGTTCCAGTTTCATTTTTTTTTAATGTATTTTTTCGACTGTGCGTAAATTTTTTTTGGCAATACAAATTTCATTGTTTCCTTCACGTAAAATCAAATGATCAATAGAACTTTTGCTACATCGCTGGCTAGAAATTACTTATAGTAAAAACGTATGAACTTACTTGGAAAATATTTCTACACACTTATACAACGATTCGTAATTGTCGGCCAGTAATTTTAACAGCTCAACTCTAGGTTTGGCTAGAAATAGAAATGAATGAGTTTTATAAATCTGTGTATTTATAAGTAATCCATACATAAAATATGATGTACTTGTATTATAATAAGGTGTATTGAATTGTTTCCTTACTCCTACTTACAATGTTGATTTCTCAGGCGATCAAATTCATGGTGTGATAAATGTTCTTCATCAGATGATAAATTATTAACCCAAGTCTTCCTCAAGCGTTTTTCGTCTGTGAGAACAGATAATGAATGGCAATAGAATACTTTTGTTAGGTAAATAAGTATTAACAGATCAGCATCTTTTTGGATAACTTTAAAACTTAAGCTTTTATAAATTATTTGTCAAAAATTTCTAACAGAGATGAATCTCTTTGTTAAAGAACGAACTTCAAGTACCGAACGTTTCTGAATTTCCTTCTTTCCTATTGTGTAAAGCTAAGTTTAGGTCCGTGTTTTACTATTGATCGAAAACTTACACTTTAGAAGTAACAAAAACGACGCCACGCCAATCAAAGCTTTTTATTGCTATCTTTGATTAGTTAGAGGGTAGTGAATAGTACAAATTGTTTAAACTAGTCTTAAGTTATTAAAATCAATAAATACATACATATACTTGTAGTATAATACTAAATAAGTAGCGCTCAAATGCGCCAATCGCAAATTATATTGACGTTAACATGACAATATGAATACTTCAGCTCTATCTATTGATATAATATTTATTAGATAAGATCTAATTTTCTATTGAAAATTTAATATATCATTTTGAACGCATTTAATTTGCACTATATAACTGATTTGTTTAGTTTTCATGGCATATCGTATACAATGAGAACTTAATTTAAAACACAAAAAAATTTTATACAAAAAAATTATGTATACAAATACTTTGTATAAAAATGATCTTACCCAACAAGAAATGGTATTTCAATATCTTATTCAAACGGCGAAAACGTCTACCAAGCCCTAGAGCGTTATTGGCATACAAAATGTGACTTCCAATCAGCACTAAATAAATGCCATAAAATGGTATATACCAATTAAAAGTGGCTGCTGCAAAAGAAAAAATTAATAAGTGAGGTTACCGCAAATTGTTCACTTGTGAAAAGTCTTACCAAGAAAATGTTGTGACCCAATCAGCATCCACACATAATAATCGAAACCTATAAATATCGATATAACTTTGAATTATATGTAAATAAAAATTAAATAAACCAACTTATGATTGCTCCGAACATTATTGATGTGCTTATGGCCAATATTCTAGATATAAAGCGATCATTTTCGAAATTCACAAAGAAGTGCAGAGTTTCGTCTAGCTGTAAGAAATGTAATTTTAAATTAATTTATGAGTTATTGACGTGTATTATAAATGTTATTACTAATGACAATTTTTTATAATTTAACTCCAAATAAATTTATAAAACAAATATTATTTTCAAATTGAGAAAAAATTGTATTTTAATAACGCTTTTGAATTTGAGAATTAGAAACAAAATGTTGGATTTCTTAGAAGGTGTTTTTTAACTGACACAAGGATCTAATTAGTTTATAGAAATTACCACCTAGTGATTATAAAATATTATGAAATACCTTCCTTAAACGCATATTGAGCTGTTGTGTAGGCTTCACACTGCAAAGACCGCAACTGATACCAGCAATACATGTCAGCGCCACCATGCTCACATCCAAGGCAGTGACCACTTGTAGCGTTGAAGAATTCACGCTGAAATTTTTATGACATGTCATTAGTAACAGTAAATACGTTATTAAATTGATATACATTAAATATGTGAAGACTGTTGTTAAGGTTCTAGTTCGTTTGTTTTCTCCCTTTGATCAACAGGCATTGTACAAAATTGTGCCTTTGTCTCTATTGTGATTTTTATACTCTCGCAACATGTTGCTACAGGGTATAATAGTTTTGTTCACCTAACGGTTGTTTGTATCACCTAACACTAATCGAGATAGATAAGGGGTTATATTTATATATACAAGTAAATGATCAGGGTAACGAGACGAGTTAAAATCCGAGTGACTGCAAGCGATAACTTGGTTCCAAATTGAGATATCTTGATGAAACTTAGTACACGTGTTCCCTGGTCCCCAAGGGGGTTAGCCATGCGATTGGGCGTAATCGAACCACTGCCACGCCCATAAAATGCCATTGAAGGAAAACCTATTAGGTGTCTTAACTAAGCCATAAAGTAAGATACAAAACTGTAATGCGGTGCAAGTGATCGCAGGGTTAAAAGGCATTTGTGGACTAAACATTTTTCAAAAGTGGGCGTGAGCCCGCCCTCTAAATGATTACAAGTACATATCTCCCAAAACACTGAAGCTATGTACTTATATATTCTGTGAAAATAAAGAAAATCAAATATAACCACAGCTTTTTTTGAAAGTTACTAAAAGTGCGATAACTCATTGAAAGAAAGAGCCACAAGCTTTAAATTTTACAGCCAGGATGGCTAAGAAGGTCTTAATGGTAGCCTATATTTCAGTAAATACTAGACCATTTGCAACCAAATTTGGTATATGAAGTTACCCAATAATTTGTATCATATTTTGTGAATATAGGGTGCAATCGGCTGATAACCACGCCTACTCCCCACATAACAACGTTTTAAATTATATCTAATTCTTTCACTTTACAGTATACAAATCAAACATCAGTGCAGTTATTAGGGTAAAACTTTGTACAAATAGTAATGTAACGCCCAAAAATTGTTGGACCCAGACACAAAATATGTGGACACCAGTGCAAAATATATGGCTGATTTTTGAAGTGAAACTTCTTTGCGCTCGTTGCGCTGTAATTCCGGTATCAAATAAAACGAAAAATCGACAGGAAATGTTAATGTCGATGTTAATTCTCTCATTATTCTCCCTAATTTGCCAAAGTTTACTTGCTCACGCAGTAGACTTGACGGACACAGTAGCCTAACCAGCGAATATTTTATTATCGGAAACATGGATAAACAATGAAACAGTATATCAGTTTACCTTGCGAGAGTATAAAATGTTCGGTTACACCCGAACTTCGACCTTCCTTACTTGTTATATATAAAAATTGGCCGTGATAAATACATAAACTATAGAATCGATTTTAACCAAATTTCATACTTTGTGTGCAGGTTGATTCAACTTGAAAGATAGAACAGTTTATAATGTTTCAACTTATAATAAAAATAGTTTACACTCTCACAATAACACCTAAAATTATCCGTGCAAGCGATAACTTGAGTAAAAATTATATATATTAATGTAACTTGGCACATGGCGCAGTGAGGAGCCGATGCCTCGTCCCCTAATAGGTTTAATGTACATATCTCCCAAACCATTAAAGCAATAACAACCAAATTTCGCATCCTGATATGCTTACCAATCTTGCAGTGTGAAATGGGCGAAATCAAAACATAACCCCTCCTTATTCTCACATAATCTTCTTAAGAAACTTGTTCTCAAATATTGTATAAATGTCAAAAGTTGAGACAATCTCTTCAGGCCTTCCCCTAGCCCCAATCAAACTTTAAACATTTTGTATTTAGTTTTCCTAAATAGAAAGTGGCTTAACGCTGAATGAAAGCTATCTATACCTTAGTCTAAAGCCTATAACCTTTCATATAATGATTTCCGATCCTCTGGTTAATCTTGGTTAATAATGGTATACCCACTTCCAAAGAAATTATTCAGACCACTATAATATATAGTTCTATTCAAACTGACCGATCAAATTCAAGGCAAAGATCTTTTTTTGTACCCTTTTGTACTATAAAAAATGCACCAGGGAAAGGGTAATAAAGCTTCGGTGTAGCCGAAGCTAACGTTTTTTTCTTGTTATTATAAAGTCCTGTCAAGAGAGTATAAAATGAGCCTTTACACACGAAATTCTTATATATGTATATATATTTTAAATACCCATTGCTGTGTCCGTGTGTAATTATAAGTTCGATATGAGTGCAACTTGGCTTATCTAATTGATTAACATTTATTTTAAAGCCCTACTTACCAAAATTTAACCTTGCTATAATCCTTGAATCCAGTCCCGACTAATGTAACTAAACCGGAAATATAAATAAATATTCATTGTAATGGGAACTATTTTCTTTAATTTTATTTACTCTCTCTTACGCACCTAGTGTTAGACACAAAATGATTGAGTAGATGGTTAACACTTTGCTACGTTTTATTGTCAATACGCCTTCCTCGTTCGTCTTAACAGAAACGGGAGCCAATGCTAAGGCTCTGCTCAGATAAATAACACTTAGAGATGACTCACTGATTTCCATTTTGTAAAATGATTTTATTATTTAGTTATTAGTTAAAAATTATTTCAAATAGTGTTTTAAGTTCAAAGTAAACTTTACATATATATTTTATTTCAATTTCATGAAGCGGCACTGATTACTGTTTCAAAGGCATCGTGCTAAGCAAGTAAACTGTTGCTATAGCTTTTACTTCAGCGCAGCGTTAATTGTTCCCTTAACCTTTCCATATTAAATCTGACATTAAGCACAATGTAAGCATGTAATAAATTAAGCTTTTTGACATTGTAATATATATTCTTTGGCACATACCAGTGACGGATTTTGGCCACGTTTCCCATTAAAAGGTTAGTCTATGGTTTTCAAAAATTATAATAATTTGTATTTTATTGCTTAAAGTAGACCTTAGAATCTTAAAAACATTATTCAATTAATGTATTAGTCTAAAATATATTTGACCTGTTCAAACGGCTGTAATGTGGAGGCATTTAGGCCAGTCAGTTTTAGCGCGTTTTAAGAGGTCACATAGGTTTCCTCGAGGGAAAAAACGATACCGAAACCATATAAGAAATGATGAACTTTTTTCATACTTTTTATTATTCTAAAGATCCAAATTTTATAAAGATTTTGTGAAATTTTCAAAGGAAAATATTTAAAACTCTGCCATTACGACGTCATTTCCGACAGTCCCTGCCCAAGAAAAAAGGTGTCACCGTGGTGATAACAGAACTTCTTTCAAAGGCATCAGAAGTAAAAAAAATAAAAGACGTGTTCTAATTAAGACCATAAACTAAGAAAAAACAAAAAAAAGTGAAAGTTTTCTTTTGGCAGATGTTTTCACAAAATTGCAAATTTTGGTGAACATTTCTTGACTTTGTTTGTTTTAATAGTTATAATTGGACAAAACTAATTCTTCGTTATATCTCGAAGACCTCTGTAAAATTAAATTAAGATTGGTTGAGTAGTTCGCGAGATATCTTGACAGCCAACTTGAAAACACAGTTTCTGACCTCGAGCGTGCAACTTTTCAAGGATGTATCTCGAAACTATTACTCAGACCAACTTGAAATTAAGACAATATTTCGGAGATGTTATAGAATTAAATAAAATAATAAAATACTATCGACAATATTTACATTTAATATGTGATTAAAACACGGAAAATTCAGGGAACCAGCTGCGACTTAAATACATTCCATATTCCTTAGCGCATCCTCTTATTAATCGATATTAACACCTGTTTACAATATTATAAATTACAAACTTCCAATAAATGGGTGACAGGAAGATATTTTAAACAAGTAAGATTGGCTGAGTTCGGCTACATTCAGATATCACTAATATTTACTATTGGATGACATAATCCAAAAGCCAAAGGAAAACTTAATATATTTGAAGTTCATTGTCAATATACTCGAACAACTTTTTCATCAAATATTTTTCATCCTTACAATTGTAGATACGTGTATATTCGTCATTGTTAACTATTTACCAAATAAACAATTCATTGATCGCTTTTCCCATTTTCGTCCCTAAACTATAGACTATCTTTGAAAATATGTTATCTTAATTTTGCTAAGGCATCGAGCGATATTTTCGGTAAAAAGTCAACTATAAGCACTGGGTCCACATATTTGGTACCTAGGGCTTGAACAGTTTAATTTCGATTTGGACCATTTTTGGTGATGAGGTAGTACACTTCAAAAGGACTATTTGTGCAAAGTTTTATCGCGTTACATTAATTCGTCCTTTATTTACATACTGGAATGTGAAAGAATCAGATGAAATTTAAAATATCGGTATTTGAGAAGTAGGCGTGGTTGTACTCCAAAACCCCCATTTACACACTGTAACATAAGAATATTAGGAGAGTTTTTATGTACCAAATTTGGTTAAATTGGTAGAGCAAGTCCCGAGATATGATTTCACATGAAAATGGGCGGTGCAACACACCCATTATCCAATTTTGACACCTGTTCTATAAAGCCCTCTTGTGTCATCCTAGGTTAAAATTTAATGGATCTGACGCAGTTAGTTATTGATTTATCGCAGTTTAGTAGTTTTCACAAAACTTTTATGGGGAATGGCGAGGTTATCATCCGATTACACTCATTTGTACACTATCGTAAGAAGGTTGGAAAATGTGTACATCTGCAAATGTGGGTATATAGCTTCATTGGTTTGGAAGATACATACATTAAATTTATTAGGGGGCATTTCAAATCGTCTTGTCATTCTGATCATTTATGTATAGGCAGCCTCCACACAGTAACTTTACGATCTTTATAAACAAACTATTTCTGTCCACTCAGCAAAAATACAAATTCTTAATAAGCATCTTTGCTTATTTAAGTAATCAATACTCATTCCAATAAAGCTAAGACCACAGCTTCTTAAATAAGCATCTTTGCTTATTTAAGCAACAAATACTCTTTTATTAAGCTAAGACCACCCATATAATGTAAACAACAAAACTAATTGCTGAATAAGCACATATTGTAAATTGACACTTATTATAAGACTTAAGAATATAAGAAAATGTATATATAAGAGTAAATTGAAATAAAGAGATTCAGTCTTCCATCAGGAGCACTCAAACCAAATCGTTGATTTCTTCCGTGCTTGCGCGGATAATATATTTTTTAAAACTTCCACATACGAGGAAGTTAATTGGCGCCCAACGCGTGGGGCATGTGTTAGATATCCTCGAAAAAAAAAAGGGAGAAAAAAAAACAAGTATCCCTAGTCGAAAGGATAGTGACGCGTGTCGAAACAAAAACAATTAATTAGCAATCAAGTATCCTCTCGGGAGGAGAAAAGAAAGAAAAAAAAGCAAAAAATACGGCTACGCGAGTGAGACGCGCCCGAAAAATCAAAAATACGCCTACGTGAGTACGACGCGAACAAAAGGCCCGAAAAGTACGGCTACGCGAGTACATAAAAAAAACCCATAAAAACTAATTTAAATACCAAAAAACAATAAGTTCTAATACTAAAGATTTTTAAAGTTTGAAAAAGCGATTGCAAGCAAACAAGTGTTAACGCTGTGAACAAACGAACCTTCAAAAAAATACAACGCTATGTAGTGAAATAACAATAATAGCAAGTGAACTATAACAAAAGTGTTGCTTTATAAATACGCCAATTTCGAAGCAATTCAAATTGAATAAAGTGTGTATAAAAATATATTAAACCTAACACCAAAACTAGACAGAGAAGAACTAAGGCATTGCACGCTAAGCGAAGCGTTGCCAACGAGGGCACAATTAATTAAATCAACACTGGCAAGGGAGCTAAACACCAATCAACAAACCCTTTAGAGAGAGGACGAAAACGAGTAAGCCGATATTTTAATATTATTAAATTTATAACAAATAAATTGTATTATTGTAATAATCCTAGTAACATAAAATATTTAAGTATAAGTACTACAAATTTATAAAAAAACATGTTATAAATCAAGGCTCGACCAGCCATATAACAAAATATTTAAAACGCGATTCACCACCGCAAGGGTGACCCTCCGGTTTATAACATAAACTCAATTCTGCGATTCTGTACTCCAGACCTCCAGAATAAAAGAGTCTCCTTCCTAGAAAGGATCACAAAAATTATTGTAAAAGGAACAAGAGATTCCACAAATCCAGCCGAAAGTAATAACGGCAAGAAAATAAAATATTTATATATATATAAGAAAATAAAATAAAAAAAATGTATTTCCAAAACTTTGACAAAATGACAGACGCCTTACCAACTGACTCAGACAAATGTAGGTCAGATAAATCTTATTAAAAAAAAAAAGGATAAGGAGAAACAAACAAGATAAAAGTAAAAGCACATTATTTATTATATAAATATACCAGAAATATGTCAGGGCATTACCAGTAGATTTGATGTTGATAAACTAAAGAAAATAATTCGAAACTTAGGGAAAACTGAAAATTTTCCAAAAATATTTACCAAAGGATGACCCATCTAAAAACATAAAATAAATTGTATGAGGGCAGTTTTAAATACATAGGAAAAACAAATAGCAACAATTGAGGACTATTACAATAGGGATACAATAGTATCTGAAACAATAGCTATGATTAGGGTATGCGAAAAGGAAAGACGTTAAAACAATATTAAAAATAAAAAGCATTCTTTCCTAGAAGAAAATATTTTTTTTTAATGGGAAATAATTCAAGTACACTGAAATACGAAAGGCTGTACTATTGTAATCATTGCAAGGGCAACCATAAATCTGAAACTTGAACATATTTAAAGCACACAAAAACTAAAATAATATAAAATGGCTCTAAATAGTGAGAACGAGAATCTTGTTGAAGACTAATAACTGCAACAAATGCTTCTCTTAGACTAGAGGTAGAGGAGTTGCGAAGGCAACTGCAGGACTTAACACAGTCAACTACAGTAGTTGATTATAAAACAGAAGTGATCGATCGACATATCAATTGTGATGAGTCACTTGAGGTGGTCAAGTCACTACCAGAATTTAATGGAAACCAAACCAAATACGTTAGCTGGAGGGAATCAGCCAATAACGCAATGAGCTCATATGTAAGGGGCAGCCGTAGATATTTTGCTGCATTAAGTATACTAAGAAATAAAATTACAAACGACGCTAACGACATTTTATCCAATCACGGGACAGTTCTTAATTTCGATGCTATTTTAGCACGACTCGATTTTGCTTACGCGGATAAGCGACCAGCTCATATTATCGAACAGGAGATGAGTATTTTGCGACAGGGCACTTCTTCAATTATAGAATACTATAATAAGGTTAATGAAAATCAACTTTACTTATTAATAAACGATAATGACTTACGGATCGATAATGCCGTAACTAAAGAATTAAACGCAAAAAATAGGCGGGATGCGTTGCGTATATTTATAACAGGTCTAAATGGAAATTTAGCCAATATAATATTTTCATTATCACCAAGTGATTTGCCAAATGCGTTGGCAAAAGCACAAGAATTAGAATCGAATAATATGCGAGCAATTTTCGCATCACAATTCGGGAAAAATCCCAATTATTACAGACAACGTATTAACATCAATAACGGAAATTTCAATAATAATTTAC